TTCATACTGACGAGAGCACATACCGTTCACCAGAGCGCTCTGCAGTTCGTTTACTGATATGGCACCGGAGCGATCGGCATTTACGTCGTTGAACCACTGCCAGAGCTGAGGATCGGCCCCAGGAGGAGGGCCATGATATTGTTGTTGCTGGTATGGCGCGCCATACCCTGGCGCCTGCTGGCCGTAGCCACCCGGAGCAGGCGTAGAACGAGAATAACGCGAGGAACTGCTATGAGAGTGATGAAGTCCAGGAGACAGTGCGTTAGAAATCCCTTTTGTGTCGAAAGTTCCCTTGGCATCGAGATTTCCTGTTCCATCAAAAGTACCTGTCGAGCGTCATGGTCACTACTACATCATATACGCACAGCATAGCTCAAGATGATACACCTACCGACCATCATGCCATTCTCAATAAAGCATTGAATGTATTTCCCGGCTTGGAGATCGCGCGCCTTTGGTTGTCCATGCATACACTGACTATATGCAGTCCAGTCATCGCTATGGGCGACAGCAAGATCAACATTCGTATTGCTCTGGCACGGGAGGTTTTTGGATGTGAGAACCACCGATTCGATGCAAGACTCGTCGGCATACCTCGAGAACAAAGTCAAGAATTGATATGAGAAGATCGTCATGCTGCCGGATACGGTCAGAGTTTGCGGTGAAAATCGAGTCACTAAGCGAATCACCGTCGGTTGCGTTTGACCGATACTTTCAATCTCGGGTCCCGATTGATCATCGTCACTCGGGCCATCGCGCCTTTCGCTTCGGAGTTCTCTGGGATCGGCGCCACCCGCAATCTTTTTCGGTACCACGTCCTTCAAGAGCAGCCGCCTCTTCCCTCGGAAACCACGCACAAATATAACTTGATTCATGCGACTTGTGTCGTCTAGTATCGTGTCAGCATAGATAACCCGCACAGTCCAGATGCAGTTGAGCTCACGACGACCCGCAACCTTCGGCTCAACTGTACTGTGCGGAGAAGTTCTGCGAACCTTCCTGCTCGCGCGTTGCCATTTGCCTAGACAAAGGATGCAACAGTAAATATCTAACAGTTGACAAGGACAGAAACATGTACATACCTGGGGAGTGCATATCTCCTCCGTCTTCTCCGTCTTCAGGATTAGGGCCCGAGTCCGTGTGGGGCGCACGTGCGCGACGACGTTCGAGTTTGGCTCCGAACTTGACATTCGCAGGGGTGGCTGAAAGCAGACTGAAGGTGAAATCGGCCTGTAGTGAACCGTCGCTATAGGAGATGTTAGACCAAGCCTCAGTCGTGTCAACTCTAGTGACCAGCATAAGATCTTGAGCATCGATACCCAGTCCTTGACTTTCCACAAGCTCACTCCAGCGGCCGAAGTTTTTGACCAAGTAGCGCTGGAACGACGGAAGGTTATGTGTCTCCTCTATCTTGACGATGCCAGACGTCGCGAGAATAGCGCCCTTTTCTCGACGAGCCGTAATTGCGAAACCAAGATCGGCGTTCGAGCTACATTGACGAAGATCATTCAATGGTCACGCCGTATATAAGGTGGTGAAAAAACGCACGCTACATCGGCCTTCACTTCCACAGTCACCGCGGTAATGCCCTCCGAGGTGAAAGGACCAGAAGGTCGCGTGAACTTAGCGGGTTGCACGGTGATCGGTGAGGTGGATTGTGATCCATCGCGTGATTCGGTGAACTGCAAAGGCTCAAACGAAACAGGAAAGACGCAGTCTTCGTCGGCTTCTTGCTGTTCGCTCTCTGTCTTCAGACAGTTGAATAAACGGATGAGCTGGCCATCCCAGCTATAAACGACGTCTCCAACGTCGATCTCGGGACGAAGCCCAGTGCCGTTGCAAGACACGCGGCGGCGAGGATTGAGGACGGCGTAACCATGCGATGGGGAGAGATGATTGGCGTAGAACGCGGACTGAGAATCCATGTGGAAGGACGTTCTCGCACAGCTTAGGGACGAAGAGAAAGCGCTGCGAGGGCAGTCCGGTCTATACCACCTCCGACTATAAGAGTGTAGTTGCGTCTCACGTGCCGTCTCGGTTAGGGTGACAGGCTTGCCCGTTCTGACAGTGGCGAAGCTATAAGGTTTGCGCCGCAGCTGCTCGGTTCTTATTGTGAATGCATTGTGTCAAGATCGCTCCGCAAAGGCTGTACTCACGGGGTTCACATTTGAGCACGCCGTAGCCAGGAAGATGCACAGGTTATGCCTGGTCCCGGTTAGGGTCCAGGTTTCACAGACAGAAAGTCTGCCCGGATGTTCGGAGCCATAAGGACTACCCGTGGGATAGTGCACGTGCTTATTGGTCCGCTATTGTTCCTTGCTGTCCTAATGCGGCTTGTTGCTTGCCTTCAAGTTCATGCTTCCATTTGTGTACCGCCGGATTTCATCGTCTACTTAATCTGGCATCGCGCGTCCTCGTTCTCGAGAGCGATATCGACGACTTCGTTGTTCCAGCTGCTTGCAAAACGATAGGCCATTGGGGGGTCCTACACATACAGCCCGTTTGCACCGCTTTGCTCCACACGTGCCCCCGCGGCGTTGGCCGCGTTTCTCGCTCAGGCTGATTTGCGAGTCCTCCATACCATACGAATTAACCGGTTGTCGCGATTTGCGACCCTCGGCCTCAGTACAAGAATATCGTGCCAGAACCGCTGCCTCAGAAGGGAAGCTGGGCTTTTAGTTGTTGAAGCCCGGATGAGCCGTCTCGGAGCCTCGTGTCATTTCCACGCGAGCGGACGACGCGAAGTGGCGCCCGGCTCTCTATGTGTAGGACCCCTAGGTGGCCTATCGTTTTGCAAGCAGCTGTCAGGGTCTCGTGTTCCTTGCCCACAGTCGCTTCACGTTTGCGCATTGTTTGCGTTGTGCCGGCTCGTAAGAGATTCTCATATTCGTTTCGCGCCGCGCTGCCCTAAGGCATACAAGCAGTCCGTGAGACGTCAGGATCGCGTTTTGTGTGGTTGACGTGTGGTGGCGGCGGGTACACTTGGCTCGAAGCATTGACTCGTTGTGCTCGGATTGAGATAATCACGATGGGAGCATGTTTAGTAAGCCACCGGGACCAGGACGCCTGGAAGGCCGTAACTTTAAGTAGCGGGATATCTTAACACTGGGAGCTCGGCACTGGAGAACTCATCCTCATAGGACAGCAAGAGCTGAGGGCACTACATGCGACCAAGGGGCACGGTTCTCCCAAGACGAGCGCTAGAATAGGGTATTCTATAGAGGTTTGCGATCGCCGGTCGAGTCGGATCTGAAGAACGAAGAGCGGCAAGCTATCGATAGCCTCCTGGTGTGGAGACCAACATCTCGTGCTCTGTACGGTACATACAATCAGCATCCCCTCCTCTCAGTTGACGAAGAAAATGACGTACGACGCATGGCCAGTCTCAACATCCACCAAACATCGTCGACTACAACCTCCCATATCCATTCCGCGGGAACGAGAAGGGGAGGAGGTGTGGATGCGAGGCAAAGTCCAACATCCTTCTCTCCGGCGCCTCCCTCTCCAATGTCGCCAGAGAAGGTTGCGAGAAGGATCCAGCGAGATTCCTGTGTGCGATGGAGCGTGAGCTGACGAAAGCCAATGGAAGCAGGTGTGTCGGCAAGCAGAGAAGAATAGAACAAAGAGGCCGTACCTCAGATTCCTCAAAACACGTCTCATGCTACCGATCTTCATTAAAAGTGGCTGTAGAACGCCGCGGTCGAGCTATCGTCGTCGCGTCAGCATCGTTCGCGTCCGCCAGCTCTTAAGCCAGAAGTGGTAGAGGATGATGGGTGGCGAGTAATAGGCGATGAGCTACGACCTCGGCTATGCGCAGCTTGTGCGTAGAGCGAGGATAGTTTCGGCCCCAGGCTGAGGTGTTGAATCGGTGGATCTGGTCTTCGACGCTGGTGTCGAGCGACCTCGTGTGTTATGGAGAATCCGGGCCAGGAGGGGACATGCTGAGTTTGAGAGGTGGAGGGTAGTAGTATAAGAGAGTAGATCAGGAGGGTCCGGTCGCGCGGGCTACATGGCGGTCGCTTCCAAGTCCCATTGCGAGATGCGCGGGCTCTCAGTGTCACAAACGCGCGCACGTTGTTCGCCTGTGGTAAGTAACGATGATCGAACGCGCAGTCGAACTCGGCCAGGGACTGTGCTGGCGCGGTGCAGATTGCCGAGCACGCAGACGTGCAGTGTACCTCGAGTGTGGCACTATGAACCGTACTTACTGTACATTAGCGCAGTGGCGATCGTGGGGCGGCGGCTCGCGCAATCGGGGTCAACCGAGTTGTTGCTACGAATGAAATGATCACTAAACATTGAGTACTGCTACAAGAGTGATACTGAACGAACAACATGAGTGCGGCAAGATACAGTGCAGATGGATAGTACAGTACGAGAAGTACAGGATAACACGAGACAGCAAGATACATCCGGCCAAGTCCCAAGCTAGTCTCGTTACCAGACCGCTGCCGCAAGAGTTTGGTGGGGGGGAAGATGTTAATCTCGAGGGAGAGGGCGCGGAGGAGGGTTTGTTGGGATGTCTGTGGGGGGCGTGAGCGTGAGGATTAGCGAACCGGCAAATCCGCAGGAAGAGGCGAGGGCAGGAGGATGCGAGCATGGGCGGGCGAACGCACAACGCAGAGCGAGCAGCGCATATATGGAGCAAGAGTGGGGGCGCATATAGGAAACAGGATGAAGGAAAAGATGAGAATGTACCTTAAACTCCTCGTAATACACCTCATGCGGCGCGATCCTTATAAAGTCCCTCGCGTACACGGGCTTCAGCGGGCGCAGGACACCGCGGTCGAACTGTCATCCCCGCGTCAGCCTTGCCCAACAGGTCGTATGGGTACGCCTGGCACTGCAGGAGGCAAAGCAAGGGTGAAGACGAAGGTGGATGTCATAATGGAACCCAACGACAACCTGTAGAAGTACAAGCGTATTTCCGGTTCGCAACTGCGCTGTAGGCGCCATCATACAAGTACAGCCGAACAATGGCGCATGATCCATATTCCGGGGCTCAGGATGAGTTCCGGTTTGTCGCCTATACACCGCCAGACGCGCTTCCCGTGAATCTCACCGCATTGGTGATTTCACGGGAGAAATCACGGGAAACACGGTGAGGCCGTGGAGTAGATGATGCACGTGCGCTCATCTCATCCCGCCGCTTGAGAAGTTAGTGTGCTGCACACCCAGAGACAGCTGAGATGGCAGATCAGTGAGTGTCACCAACATACACACGAACCCCCTACAGAACTCTCAGACCAGCGACACCACTCATCGTGAAGAGTTCAACGAGCTCGCCCGCGCACGAAGTGGGAACGTAACCTCATGAGAAATCATTCACGGGATCTCGCCGTGACGCGTGACGCGTGAGGCTCCACTCCGGTGAGATTCACGGGAAGCGCGTCTAGGGGTGTAGGAGCCCAGAACGTCCCCGGCCCGAGAGCGGTCCGGTCACAGAAACCGTCACATTGTCATCACGCCCCAACGCGTCACCGCCCGCGCGTTCTCCTCCTTCGGTGGCGATGTCTCGCTTTGAACAGTAAGTACTGAGCGGACCGACGGTCCAGATTCAGCGAGGCGCTAGGCCAATCATTATACTCCCGCTCGGGCCGATCTCCAATCGCCGACACGGCCCTTCGCGCCGCGGCAGCTTGTTGCCTCTTACCACTACCTCGATAAGTTGAATGCGCACCTGACGAGACAATACTGCCCGCTTCAGTCTACGCGATGATACGAGCCTATAGCGGTCTGAATACATCTGACACGAAGCGCTGAACACATCACACCAAGCTCCTGCTTCGATTGGTTTGTTAACACCGACAGTCGCACATGATCTGGGTGACCGACCTCATCAGTGCAGGTAACCGCCAGATACAGAGGTAAAGACCAGGAAGTATGCAAGTTTGAACTTATGAGCGCGCTGCTGCTTTCGGAATTGCACATCCCTCGGGCCGCGGGCAAGGTAGTGCAATCCTATTGGGTGTTGGTTACCTCGATCATAGATCGACTCATCGCCGACTATCGTCTCTGTGTCTTCTCACGTTGTCAGACAACTCATACTCTGGAAAGTTGGATGCCATAAATCTAGGGCTGCGTCGCTGGCTCGTGAAATCTCTATACACTGAGAGCACGCTGCGGGCGCTCATCTGACCACCCTGACGCGACTTCATCGAACAATACGCATGATGCATGATGCTCTTGGTACTCCAAATATGTCGATGCACAGATCAATCGCTTAGCGACCCTTGCAATCTAACTACGGCATTGAGAGTGAGTCTGCCTCTCTACTGGTCCGTGTCGCTACAGCATCGTTCTCTCTCGCCGAGAAGCTGACTTTTCTCAGGTTGCAGAGGCTCGCATCCTATAATCACGATAACGTAGACGCTTCGCGCGTCCATGAGTACTTCGTCCAACCGCAACCGAGAAGAACTTCAGGAAGTCGATCTGTCGTTGATCAAATCTCATGACCGTGCTCACGGATGCGCACTCTCAAGCGACGGGAAGACGTACTGCCCGGTCCCGCAGCACAATGAGCGCTGGTCCGCTGACCACCGGACGATGTGCTCGCTCGGATGCGACCTCCTGCCGCTACCGACCTCCCTTGTTTTGAGGCGTATATAGCCTGCGCACAGAGATCATGCTTGCGACAAGGGTCGTCTCTCTATCTTTGAGGTCCCTCCAGTCGCGTCGCATACACGTCGGTCGCCATGTTCACGGTTCTTGCGGCTGCTCTCTTTGCCTCTGCGGTCTATGCGGCTCCGAGTCCTACCATCGTCCCGCGTGCAGTGACGACGCTGTCGGTCTCCCAACTGGATGCGTACACGCCCTACACGCAGTTCGCGCGCGCTGCATACTGCAATGTGGGCACCGACTGGGCTTGTGGAGGTGGGCATATTCTATTCTTGAAAGGCATCATCGCATGCTCATGTACCCACACAGACGCCTGCTCGGCAAATGCGGACTTCACTGTGGACATCGCCGGCGGCGACGGGGACAGCGTCCAGTACTGTACGTGATCATCACGGCCCAATCACGATCTCACCTATGGATCCGTTGTAGACTTCACTGGATACTGGCCCTCGAAGAACACGATCGTCGTCGCGCACGAGGGCACTGATCCTACGCAGTTCGAGAGTGTACTCACGGATGTCGACTTTGTGTTCGCCGACCTGGATAGCACCCTCTTCCCGGGCGCTCCGAGCGGCGTGCAGGTTCACAAGGGCTTCGCAGACGAACACGCTCAAACGGCAACTGACATCCTGGCTTCTGTCAAGAGTCTTCTGAGTTCGCATAGCGGCGCAAGCGTTACCGCAGTATGTCATGCTTGCAACGAACTGGTGTATGTGGGAGCTGACGAGGGTCGTACTTGATAGATCGGCCATTCGCTTGGTGGTGCCCTCGCCGAGCTCGACTCGCTCTACCTCTCCTTGAACTTGCCATCTGGCACAACAGTCTCTGGCGTGACCTACGGCACACCTCGCGTCGGCAACCCGGATTTCTCGGACTACTTTGATGGCGTTGTGTTGAACTTCACACGCGTGAACAACGAGCAGGTGAGATGGCTCGATCCCAGCTGGGTGACTGCGAGTCTCTCAACTAACTCGTCTTACCAGGACCCTATCCCGACGCTTCCGCCAGCAGACTTCGGCTTCCAGCACGTTGCGAAGGAGATCCATATCCTCGATACGGACTCTGCTGTCCTGTGCCCGGGCGCCGAGGATACCACGGACGCGCAGTGCATCGACCAGACTGAGCCGTCAATCACGGACAGCGACATCCTTAACCACCTTGGACCTTGTGAGTGAACCGAGCACCTATAGGTGGCAACATAGCTGACACCTTGGAAAGACCAGGGCGTATACATCGGCACGATCTACTGCTGAGCTCCGTAGACCTTTCTCTGGGTTTATCGGTGTTATTTATGACAATCAAACTGCTTCACGTTCAAGCTTGCATGACTGTCCATAACGCGTGAATGATAGTTGTACAACGCAAGTGAATATGCATGAAGAATACACAAAGACAATGCTCCATCCGATCTTATCCACAGATACCTCCCGACAAGAGCCTACTTCACCGGTTCGGCGTTGATAAGCTCTGTACCATTCCGTCAGCCTCGAAAGCAGCATCGCAACAACGACAAGAGACGGACCTTGTGCGGCAGCCTGCTCAGCAGCGCTCAACCCACTTTTCCCCTCCTCCTCATTCTTCTCCTGCTCCTCCAAGAACGCATCGACAGCGTCGAGCACCTCATCACCATCCTCCACATCAGACTCAAAGTCCTCGTCCTCGTCGCCCGCATCGTCGATCGCGAACTGCGGTCGCTCCATCAACGCCGCCTGCGCCAACTCGAGCGCAGTCTGCGCATCGCGGTCGGCTTTGGATTTGTCGGCGTCCTTGACGGAGATGGATGGTGGCGGGCCCGGCAAGGGCTTGTCTTTCTGCTGTGGAGTGCCGGAGCGAGGTGTAGCAAACGATGCGGACGATTCTGTAGGGGCCAGTGTAGAGCTCGTGTCGGTCGGAGATAAGCTGGCCTGGCTCGGTGAGCGGCGCATGCCCGGCACGAGTAGACTCTCGCGCGGGCGCGGCTCGTCGTTGTTCGTGAACCTCCCGATACTCGGCCGATGAATGACCTGGTGCTTCCCAACCGCGCGCCCGAGCTCGTCGCTGAACTTATTGAACAGCTTCTTGTTGTCGTCCGTGGCGAGTGCGCCCCACAGCCCACCGAGTAGACTGGTTGAGGTTGATACGGCTGGAAGGTCCATGAGCGGCACCGGCTCCAGACGGAAGGATGCTGAGAGATCTTGCTCGAAGAAGGCTTCCAGGACCTCTTCTGCGAGGACGACCATCCGGAATGTTGCCAGACTCATGTAGGGTTGGTTACTCTCGATTTGAGGTTCCGTACCGTCTTCCTTGGGGGGAGGGAGCAGAGCGTCACCGTACTCGAATGCGTTGGACATGAACCGGGAGATGGCGCCGAGGTACGCATCACCGATCTCGAAGCGGAAGATGAACTACACCTTAAGTCAGCGAAGTGGTACTTGGAGACGGGAGAAGAAACATACGAGCAACGATTCAGATAAGGTCAAGACTTCGTCTTTGGTGAGGAAGCCATCCTTATTCTTATCGTGCAAGTTGAAGAACCACTCGATGTTCTCCATCAAGTCATTGAACATGACACCGTCAAGCCCAGACACAAGGTCTTGCAGCGACAATGACCCGCGGAAGGACGTATCCCAGAAGAAGAACAGGCGATCAATGAGCTCATGCTCCGCGACCTCTCGATCAACTCGTCGCTGGAAGCCATTGACGACGACCTTCTCGTCCCGAGCCCACGTTGCGATCTCGCTCAAGAAGATGCGGAACGTCTTGAGCTCGATGCGAGTCTCCGGACGCTCTTCTGGAGCATCCCTTGTCGTGAGGAGGCTCGGTGGAGGCATAGTCGGCGCAGGTGGTGGCTCGATGCACACCGCCTTGAACAGAGCGTCGTAGATCAATCCAACCTGGTCCTTCGTGAATCGCTCAAGTGTACGCAGATTCCTGATCGCTGCACGCTTCGAGTATGACTCGATGGACGTGACGACCTCTCCGCGGAACTTGCGGCGTTCGGCGACGATAGTCTCGTCTGTGATGATGGCAAACTCGCGGAAGGAGACGAGCAAGAGCTCTTGGAAGCGAGTGATGGCGCGAGCGCGAGGGTCGGCCGAGTTAGGATGAGCGGATTCGCCAAGTGAGGCGAAGTAATCCCGCATGAGGCTGTTACGTTCATCAGCGAGTTGACAACAAAAGCGCCGATTGCAATCTTACTGGATGAACTGGCCATCGTCCTCGATCTGCAAGAGCTTCTCCCCGTTGATCTTGAGGATGGCTGTATCTCATAAGTTACATATACGCTGACAGACAAGAGCGAGCGGACCTAGACTTCGCTAGCTATTTCAGTATAGAAGCCAATAGTGGGACGCGTGTATATTGCTTACCCGACTTGGAACAGCACCTTCGGACCCATGCAGAAGAAGCAATCCACAATGCGGAAGGCAAACACCATTGGCATGCTGTTGATGAATCTATGGTATCAACGCATGTTAGCAAATGCGTTGAAGATGAGTAGAGTTCGACATACAGGCTCAGGAACCAAGGCAACGATGCGACGGACAGCTGCACATCTACTTCCTGACAGTGTTCGTGGATCATCGGCAAGCAACGAGCCACCAGGGCCTCGAAGACTCGCTGGTCAAGCAGGGTCCCATGCATGGATGTGCTAGTATAATCGTCAGACTCAATATCTCGGAAGTATAGTAGGCGCGCACCTGAAGTAACCCGGTAACAACCGGTCGCAGATAACTTCAAGCAACCAGAATGCCTGTTCTTCAGACATGTAGCTGGAGCGATGTCAATCCCTGTCTTCAGAAGTGGGTTGCACCGCTTACATTAGGATAGCAGCTGCCAGAATGTTCATAGCCTGTATCGTCGTATGAGCGGCGAGATCATGGCTAACGTCTACAGAGGAACATACCTGACAGTACCCCGTCTCCGGATTCTTGAACGAGAAGGCTTGTAGCACTCGTCGCAGAGCGCCAATACCATCTTCGCTCTGGTATGCAGCGTATTCAGGAAGACTTCGATGCAAATCCTTCTCGATCTCCTCTGTCGCTGTATTATGTCGTCCTGCATTATCCGCCAACAGCTTGTGGTACAAGCCAGGATTACGGAATCGAAGATGAATGGAGCCCGACAATGTCTCCCACATCTCACCGCGTAGACGATTGGGCAGGCCAACCTGTACTAAACGAGTACTTTGCGGGTAGCGCAGGAGTGTGAGATGCCTGCCATGTGCTTCTTGAGGTCAGCGATGAGAGGTGCAATTGGGAGAGGAACCCACTTCTAAGGTAGTTTGTCCAGAGTTTGGTCTTGGATGCTTCACGAAGCCTAGTGAGTCTATATCAGCACTGTCTCTGCATTTGTCAAGATGCACGAGTACTTTTTGGGATCTCCGGGGAACTTGAATTTCAAACCCAATCCACCATGAAAGGTTGACTGCTCTCCGTCGCCTATACGCTCGGCGCCGTCGATCAAGGAGCCATCCTCGCGTTCGCCTTCGGCAACCGGCGAAGAGCCGCTGACAAGGATCTCCGAATAGCATGTCTTGGCGAATGTTTTGACATGCTTCATCTGCCCAGCCTGAAGTTCGAGCTTCAATGCCTCTCGCAGAAGCGAACAGAAGAGGTCCGCGGTATGACGCAGCGAAGTCAATTGTACGATCTGCCACCCAATTAGCATCTTCCTCTACATGCATTGCACTATTCCTTACGATCTTCATTCCGTGCCATAGTGAAAGGCTAAGGGCGTAGACTCCCGCACGTGCGTTCAAGCGCTCGACGCGACGAATGGTGCAGAGCGGGATCGTAAACCGG